CCCCCCCCCCCCCCCCGGGCAAGTCATTGCCTTTGGTGCTAAGAGGACATTGCACACAGTGTTAGGAGCCTTAATACTTAAATAAGGAGAAATGATTTGGCACATTTAGCAGGGTGGAGGTACTAAAACTCAGAATTGAATTAGGGAAAATTGAGGCAGGATGACAGAGAGTCAGTTATATTTTCCCACAAAGCAGTAGCTGCCTCCTCTCTGGGGATCCTGGAAACTATACCAGCGGAATAAACTCAATGCCAGGCTTCCTGGTTAGGGAGTCGTCTCCTCTCGCATTCCTATCTTCATCTAAGGCTGTTAATATCTCAGGTTGACTGCTAACTTTGTCACATTTGCACCTAAGTGGAAAAGAAAATTCGGACCCAGATGGCTAAGCGCAGATCATCTTATTTTTTACCCTTTCTGTGTTTTGATGCTGCTATGCATCAACTGTTAAGGACAATGGCAACTATTTTGTTCTATAGTTAATACCCCCCTCGAGGGAGGTGACTGTTCTACCTTTATAGGACTGCTGTCTCACCTGGGCTGTAAGGTCCAGTGTCAGATTTTAAGGTACAGCTTCTGTGAGTACCAAGCTCTTCACTGAAGCCAGTCACAGCTCCACAAATGAAGTTACTCTATGTGCAGAAGCTCCGTAAAAGACATAAAATGTTTGATATAGTTCAAGTCACACTGACTTGGATTAATAAAGGAAACAAAGTTTTTTGACTTAGAGATGATTCTCCAGTGCTGTATCACTTAAAAAAAAAAAAAGTACGTGTAAGCTACGTGTCATGAGGGCTGGGGGAACTGTATTATGCTCCTACAACTTTCCCAAGTGCTAAATGAAACGTCTCTACCGTTGAGGATGCAGCTTGAGCAAACTTCTAACCCCCAGCACACAGAGCCAAAATGGCCCTCAAGCTTTGCTTCCTGCAGCTGCCCTCGCTCTCGGCACATCAGTAGAGAGGGAGCTGCTGCAGCAGGGGACCCCTTAGACACACTCATTTCTGGAACACAGCTGGCTGGCGCTTGTGTTCTTCTTTTATATTTGTATGTAACAGTCAATACTAAGAATAATGTTGCAAAATGTAATTTCCCAGTTGACAAGAAACACGTTGAAGGACTTTTTGTTTTGTTTCTTTAATCGCTGATGCATTTAAGACCCTGGCTCCTTGGCCACCCCAAGATTTTGATTCAGGAGGGGGTGAGGGAAGGAGGGCTGAAAGGGGCGCATTGGGAAAGGATGGTGGAATCATCTTAAGGCGGGATTTGCTTAACAAGCACACTTGGGTTTACACAGGTTGGAAGTGTACGGGGAGTTGGTTAGAAGGAGAGCTGATAAGAAGGATGGCAGTGCTAACCTCCTTCCCCCTCCTTCCGGCAACCTCCACGAGCTTCTCCTGCCCTGGACATAAAAGCATCGATCAGGTCATTTAACCTAGTTATGCTATCACTAACAAGGACACGTTAGTTGATCATTGCAATTAATGTTAAAACGGTCTTGATTTTGAAATTATTTTACCTAGATAATGAGGAGCTAATCAAATCACTTACGATATACTATTGGTAATTTGGGGTAGGACAGGTATCAGCTAAAATGTACATTTAAAATGTATTCTAAAACCTTGTTTTAGAATAGTCTGCTGTAGAGGTAATCTTTTATTCATGACATATTTCTTTTATAAGATCCTGTGCATTATTATAATACCCCACGTACACACACACAGGAGAACTCGCCGTCTCATGACCTCAGGGGTTGAAAATGATTGGGAGCTCGAGGAATTCCAAATACTCATAAAGGGGAAACTGTAAGCAAGATGAGAAACGCTTCCAGAGATGTTCTTCTACCTCCTCAGGGGCCACAGCTGACCCAGCAACCAGAACCAAACAGTCATCCCATTCCAGGGCGCCTAGCTCATTATAATCCTAGAATGACCGGTTTTATGAATATTTCCGTTCAAGCAGTAGTTGCGGAGACATGCAGCTGGCTCTGGGACGACTGTGGTGTCAAGGCAGCGAGGGGCCCTGACTTCACACCTCTCCTCCTAGACAGAAAGCCGTCAGTGTGAAGCCAGTAGGCACAGCGCTCCCTGCAACATGTAACTACAGTACCGCGCTCAGAGATACAGGGAGCGCGAATCCTATCAGCGAAGGATTCCCGGAAGAAATAATGGTGAACTAGAAAAGAAAGGGGGAAGGCACATTCCTTTGCAGCTGTACAGGCACCACAGGAAGAGGGACTGACAGAAGGCCGAGACAGTTGGAGCAGAAAGAATGAAGGGAGGTAGGTAGCTTGCCAGGTTATTTATCTAGGGCCAGACACGCACAGGCTAGCTGAGGAACCCAGAGGAGCCACTGAAAACTGGGGAGGTGGACTAGCTTAGCAGATCTGCAATTCGCAAAAACGACTAGGGTCATCCTGTGGAGAACAGACTGGGAGGGAATCAAGAGCGGACGTGAGGCCGCAACCTCAGTCATCCAGATGAGACGCAATGGTGGACCTCACGGGGATTGTAACCATGGGACGCAGAAGCGTGGAGGGATTTGGGAGTCACAGTCCCCAAGACAAAATAATAGACTGGACAGGGAGAGATGAGGAAGCAGTTAAATTTCTGGCTCAGGATCCGGCTGGAAAATGGAGTCTTTCAGAGCCAGAAAGAGGAGGATTTGGGGAGGAAACGATTGACTCGCAAGGCTTGAATTAGAATGTCTTCAACCATTAAATCTCCTCTTAGGCAAAATCTCCTCTTAGGCAGTAGGTCTTTCTGTTTCAGTAAATCATCTGGAGGCGGATTCCTGCCATACTGTTTTGATACACGGGACTGTCAACTCTGAAACCTTTACTTGAAATCGGCCCGTGAAGGAGCTGAACTGAAGTCAGTAGCCCTGCCTAAAAGAACGCGTTTCCCCACCAAATCACTGCTCTATAAAATCTGAAACCAAGGGTGATGCTGAGAAATGGGCTTTTCAAAGGGCCAAAGTCACAGAGGGGCCCTGCCCAAGCAGGTTTATCAACAAGAAAGAGCGCTGTCCTCTTGACGGCAGGACGAAATGAAGTGGGGGAGACCCCCGCAGGTAATGATATATATACTGAGGTTGCAAATTACAGTTGGGTTTTGTCATACTTGCCTTTGTAGTTTTGACTTTACTGCCACTGCTACAGGACCAGCCTGAGTGATCTGGCAGCACTTTGCAATCCTCTCCTTCCAAACAAGGATTCATGTGACACCACCATTTCTGAATCACAATGGAAGCTGGAAGACAAAGCCAAATAAGATTTGGGACATTGTTTCTTCCTCCAAATACAGGTAACATAAGGCTCAACAATGATGAGTACACTGGCTTCCAAGGTCGCTTATGGTGAAATCTTGTGAGTAAAGAATCCAGTCAGCCGTATACGGTACAGAAACAGATTATTTCTTATTATGCACTTGGCTAACCGATGATGATGTAGTTAGTGAGATCTCGCACGGTGCAGTACGCCCGCCCGGGGTTTGAATTTGGCTGTGCTACCTTTTTTGAAAGACCTTGGACTAGCTTTTTTACCCTCAGCTTCAGTTTCTTCATCTGTACGATGGGAATAAAAACAGAGCCTTGCCAGAAGGGGGCAAGAGCATAAAGCCAATCCGTGTGAAGGTCTTGGCTGACTGTGGACCAGTCACTGTGTGGTCAGAAAATGTTCACTATTATCGTGGTCTCCGTCTCTGGTTGCAGGTTATAATGGTGGACGCGGATACTGCGGTTGTGTTTGATACTCTTTGTTTTCAACAGCAAAGACTAAGGACAGTCAACAACATTTTCAGCACACAGGGTGCCTCATCTCTCCACGCCATTCCAGCAAGGTGAGTGACCACTTGAGTCAACTACTAGACGCAAGTTAAGATGGGCGGGGCGGGCCACCCCCTCACATGCCTCCATTCTCGACTAGTCAGTCAGCTTACCTGTGAATTCCCTTTCCTCTTCATCTCCCCATCCCCACAGCAGTCTGCCAATAAAATGACTGATGTTTTAAGCCCCTGAATCAGAAACTAGTACCCCAGATCTCCGCGTTTGCAGGCAGATGAAGAGAAGTTAAGAAAAAACCATCACCTTGATGGTTATTCCCATAGATTTCAAAGGACGAAAAAGATTGTGATTGACTGATTTTTAAAGGTGAACCCCCACCCTGCAGGCTGGTATAGGACAAAGCTCCAAAGCTGGGGATAGTATGTGTGGATTGGGGGTGGAGGTAGTTTAGCCTTGTTGTTTTTCTCTTTTCTGGGTCGAAACAGTAACACGTTGACTAAAAAAAAAAAAAAAAAAAAAAAAAAGTACATGTGAAAACGAAATGAAATCAGTATCTCTCAAAGATATCTGCACTCCCATTTTCACTGCAGCATTATTTATAATAGCCAAGACAGGGAAACAACCTAAGTGTCCACTGATGTATGGATGAAGAAATGTGGTATATAATATATATATATATATATATATATATATATATATATATACATACACCAATGGATTTTACCACTGCCTCAGAAGTCTGAAACTAAAGTTCAAGAAAAAGCAGGCATCCACGGGCCCACCTTGGAGAACTCCAGACCACCACCCTAAAGTAAGTGACACCAATTTTATGACTTCCCAGTGGCTAGAAAAGTTAGGTTTACACTACACTGCAGTCTATTAAAGGTGCAGTAGCCTTATATCTAAAAAAAAAAAAACTCGGTGTACCTACTGTAATTAATAAATATTTTATTGCTCAATGTACCTACTGTAATTAATAAATATTTTATTGCTCAAAATTGCTAACCATCACCTGAGCATTTAGCGAGTCACATTCTTTTTGCCAGGGGAGGGTTTGAAATACTGCAAGAACTACCAAAATGTGACACAAATACACCAAGTAAGCAAAGGCGGTTGGAAAAGGGGCACTGATAGACCACTGCCTCAAACCCTCAGTTTGTAAGAACGCAGTATCTGAAGTACAATGAAATGAGGTATGACTGTAAATCCTAAGAGCTACTTTTTCTCGAGTGCAGGACAACATCGCCAGATGTCCTGCCTGCATTTGCTAATTTCAAATTCACTACAACTCTGAGGTTCAAAGTGGTTATTGTTTTTTTTCTGCATTTTACCGAGAGCAGAAAACTGAGGTCTGGTGGTATTAAATGAGTTGCCCAGAGTCACCCTTTTTCCAAGTAGCCAAGCAGCATTTGAACAGAGGCAATCTAACAAACACTGCTGCCAACACTTAATACGTACCCACTCCCTCCCAGCAGCCCTCCCAGCAGAGATCTCTACTAGAGGCAATGACAAAAGTAGGTAACGGAGGAAGCCAGTGCATGCAAAACTCTTCTGTCAGGCAAATGCGATGTGGCAGGATGAGGGCATAGGATTGTTCCACTATTGGCTGAAGTAACCAGATACTGTATTTTCTCCACATGTAGCCACCGTTCCAGATTCGGGCCAAATACTGAGCTATGTATCCAGCGAGTCCCATCCAAACCAACAGTACATGAGTCAGGCAGATTCGTGATCTAGAATAACCAAGTGCTATTTAAATCAGGAAGTGCCAACACGGAGAAAGGCACGCAGCTAAATGGGTTATTTATTTTGCCAGAGACTTGACACTGCACTTGAGCGGACGGACACCCTGGGGCCACGTCTGACCAAACGTCTGACCAAGTTACGTTCTTTTCAGCCCCCGACCTCACAGCGGTTTCACCTGAAAATTGTATGGAGCTGTGTCATTTTCAAGGCGCTTTTATGTACTGTTCCCTTGTGATGGTCCCAAGAACCTTCAGAAGCAAGAAGGGGAGGCAGAGGGTTCCGGATACAAAAACCAGAGCTTTCCACAGAGTGAGTAGTACTGGGATCGAGACTCCGTATCCATCAGTCTTTCTACTTGTACCACAATTTGCAGTAATCGTTTAGATTAATAAGTGCTACACAAAACTGACCATCTTCATTCACAGGGCCGACCAGTCATTCATTATTTTCTGAGTACCTTAGTTTGGTCCCAAGTAGATATAAAGATAAACAAGAGGTGGTTCCCAGCCCTCAACTGAAAATGCCAGCTGCAGAACTGGAAAAGTTAGCTAAACGTTGCCAGAGCTCAGTTACATTTGCACAGAGTTAAAAGTGAATCTGAGGTACTTTTTAAAAAGCCTTTAAAACTGTTCCTTAGACAAACTTTCTTCCACTCAGCAGTGGAAACCTACGTACTCTTGACAGGTATCAGAGCTACATGGATGATTCAGAAAGAACCTTTGACAGATGGCTAGTGATCTGTCCAGGTGAAGGCAGGAGGGGCAGTGAACGGCCACCTGGAAGCCAGGAGACCCACGTGGCTCAAGTGAGGGGTCAGCAGGGTAACAGTGGACGTTCAGCTGAGAAAGGTGGTCTGGGAAGCAAACTTGAGGGACTGTCAAGGACAATTCAGGACTTGATTCTCTAAGCAGTGGGAAGCCATGGAAAGTTTCTGAGCACGGTAGTGCCACAAGCCAGGAAAACCTATGTCCCTAGAAGGGTGAGTCTGGCAGGGACGATGAAAGAATTTAGAAGGAAAAGGTGGCTGACAGGGAAGACCAACTGAGGTGTGAGTGAGGGGAGAAATCTGGGACTAAAACTCCCCGCAGAGGAAATAGATTGAATCCGATATTATCTCAGCTTCACAGAGGAGAAACGCTAGTACCTTCTCACTGGACTCAGGGGGATCTGAAAGAATCCTGATGCCAAATCTAGAAAAGGAGCTGGAGGTGGGGAAAACGATGGATTCAGGCTTTCATCACAGAAAAATGTGCCAATTCTCAACTACAGCATTGCCTAGTATTTTGTTTAAGGATTTAAGTGTAATAATGTATTTAAATAAATACAAGAAGGAAGCATACGCAGTCAAGCCCTTTGGAAACTATTTACCACTGTCCTTTCATTTCGTTGGGAAATACGGAGCGAAGGAGACAGATTCACAATAGACGCCTGAAAATAGCAGGCTGCCCTGGAATTTCAAATATTTCTAGTTGTAAAAAAGACATCAGGTTCATATTTGATAGAATACATTGAGTGAGGAGCCCTAGAAGTAGACACTTTATCCAGGTAACGTTTCTTTGTGAAAGACTTAATCGCAAACGTTCTTTCAGAAAAGGAGACATGATAAGAGCCATCCCGGTAGCCAAAATACAAGTTTCAAATTCCTTTATGAGTTAAGGATTGGCTAAGGAAGTCCCAGCTAAACTGCAAACCAACAGAGCGTTTGACCCGACAATGACTAAGGTGATTAAACAGCCCGGACGTTTCAGCTCTGAGTGCATACGGAGTAGGGCTATGAGCTGAGACAAAGGACTCAGAAGTAGAAGTAGGGTTCTATTAAAATAACTCATGAGAACATCTGCCCACTTAACTGAGTTTTGCCTCCACAGGAAAATAAGTTTGTAGGAGGCATACATGGTTTTTTCCCTGGTGCCAAATACCATAATATACTTGACATGACAAAGTGTCTTGTCACTTCTATTTTTGAAATGAAATTCTTAAAAAAGCCCCCTGCCTTAGGAAAATACAAAATATCCTTATCTGTCTGTCTATCTCCAAGCTGCCGAGCTCTAACGCATTTCTAGCTTTACGCAGAAACGAACTTTAAAAAAGACGGGCAACTAGTACTTTCTATAAGGTTGATTTTTAGGTGAAAATGTAAGGTGACAAAGAAGCTACTGTGCTCCTGGTGCATTTTCTTTACTCTCTGTTGTATGAAATAGATGGAGGGTTTTTGTTTCTAGCCCTCGTCCCAAATAAATACCACTCTATTAAATAAAACACAGTATGTATTTATATAGCTATTTAGATAAGCCCGCCTTCGAATAAGACCAACAGGCTCACTTCTCAACAGCTGGCATCTCCTTTGTGGACTTAGTGTGGTTGTATTTACAGAGAGTTAAGGCTTTTCTAAAGAAGAGTGTATTTTTACCCTGAACCTACGGACAGAGAGATTGAGAGCACATCTTCGGGGAATAGGTATCATCTGGAAAACGGAAACAGTCACAAGCATAGGTTCTGAGGTTTTAACGTATCGTATCTTTAGCTATTTTGCTCTCACCCCTGTTATTTCAAGACACTCACTGTGTTCTTTAAAAATTAAGCCATTTATTAACTTTTAAGATAGGTGGAAAGCCCTGCCACTTTATATTTCTGGTTATTCAAAGAAAAGAAGCCATTCCAACCTGACCCAGGTAACATGCATAAAAGCAGTAGTGAGAGGACTATAATTTTTTTAAGGAAA